TCCCTCAGCTCTTCAGCTCAAGGCGAGCATTCTACCACTTGAGCCACAGCGCCACTTCCAGTTTTCTAGTGGTTTATTGGAGATAAGAGTCTCAGGGAGTTTCTGCCTGGGCTGGCTTTGAACTGTGATCCTCAGATCTCAGCCTCTTGAGTAGCTAGGATTATAGGCATGAGCCACCGGCGTTTGGCTTCACTGGTCCTTGGGATTGAACTCAGGGTCTAGGTGCTGTCTCCCTGAGCTTTTTTTTTGCTTAAGGCTGGCATTCTACCACTTGAGCCACTTCTGACCGGCCCCTCCCCCACCTTAGAGAACTAGAGATAAGGAGTTTCATGGGCTGACTTCAAACTGCCTCCTAAGTAGCTAGAATTACAGGTGTGAGCCACCAATACTCCGTGTTTTTAAGAGTTTTTTGTTGTTGTTTTTTGTTTTTGCTGCTGGACCTAAGGAAGATCTAGGCAAACAGATCAGCAGAAAAGAGCAAATGGCTCTCTACCTACCAAGGCCTTGAGACAGTGTGAGTTGATTGCATCTCTCCAATAATCAGACACTTTCTTCAAGGGGAATTTGGCCTAAAAAACAGAACCCATGACTTAAAAACAGAACCCGTTTAATTCTGCAGGAATGTGCATGCGTGTGTGAGACAGTGAACAGAGGATTCAGTTTTCTATTTAGTTCACAGGCTCCTCTAGAGCTACACACACACACACACACACACATACACACACACTTAAAAGTTGAGGCTGAAATAAGAATTCTGCATACAAAACAAAATCTCAGCTTGCTACAACTTTACTTCTCAGATCATGTCTAAGGCAAGCAAGAAAGCTATGTTTTACCCACTTCTAAAAGGTTAGCTACTATAAGTACACATTCTAATAATCCTTGCATCCAAAAACAAAACAAAAACAAAAAACCCTTGAATCATAGAATTAGAAATGCTTGAAGCTACATGATGTTTTCTGGAACAGTCCAGAGACTGCTGGATCTTTGTTCCCCCTTTACAGGCTGCTGTAAATCCGCTTGATAGCATTGGCCTCTTCACGATCAAGGATGCCTTTCTCCACGTAAGCATCTGCTTGTTGGTTGATGAAGTCCCTCATTTTCGAAAGATCATAATCTGGAAGAGTATTATTAGACTATCATGAGCCAAGATCTGGAAGGAACAATCTCATTAGAGTGATGAGCATTAAAAAGCATTTTGGTCATAACAGGATTGTGGGAGGTAATGAGATTTGAACTCAGGATCTCCTGTTTGTGAGACAGACACACATCACTTGAGCCATATTCCTAGCATTTTTTTTCTTTTTGCTGCTGATTATTATTGTTGTTGTTGTTGTTATATTGTGTGTGTTTGCCAGTCTTCGGGCTTGAACTCAGGGCCTAGGCACTGTCCCTTACCTTTTTCACTCAAGGCTGGTGCTCTACTACTTGAGCTATAGCTCCACTTCTGGCTTTTTACTGGTTAATTGAAGGTAATAAAAGTATTAAGGAAGGTATTAAGATTTGAATTCAAGGCCTCAACACTTGGTAGGCAGATAATCTACCACTTTTTTGCTTTTAATTATATTTATTTATGTATTTATTAGGGCTTGAACTCAGGGCCTGTGCATTCTCCCTGTGCTCTTTTGCTCTAGGCTAGCACTCTACCACTTTGAGTCAGAGCTCCACTTCCAGTTTTCTGGTAGTTACCTAGAGATAAAAGTCTTACAGCCTTTCCTGCCCAGGCTGGCTTTGAACTGCAAACTTCAGATCTCAGCCTCCTGAGAAGCTAGACTTATAGGCATGAGCTACCAGCACCTGGCTAACATTTTGTTATTGTAAAGGTGATGTATAGGGCTGGGAAGGTGGCTCAGTGGTAGAGTGCTTGCCTTGCATGCGTGAGGCCCTGGGTTCGATTCCTCAGCACCACATAAGCAGAAAAAGCTGGACGTGGTGCTATGGCTCAAGTGATAGATCGACAAAACAAACAAAAAAGCCGGAAGTGGCGCTGTGACTCAAGTGGTAGAGCGCTAGCCTTGAGCTGAAGAGCTGAGGGACAGCGCCCAGGCCCAGAGTTCAGGCCCACGACTGGACACCCCCCCCCACACACACACAAAAGGTGATGTATAGAGAGGTTACAGTTACATAAGTCAAGTAAAGGATACATTCCTTTTTGAACAACGTCATCCTTTGCTGGTTCTGTCAATTTTTTTTTTTCATGCCTGACCTGAGGCTTGAACTCAAGGTCTGGGTGCTGTCTCTGAGCTTTTTCACTCAAAGCTGGCACTGGAGAGGAAAGTACTCTCTAATTAATTCCCGTTCTGAACCCAGAATTGGAACACCATCTGGGTATTCCTGTGAACATTTGATAGGATTTAGTTTTGCATGGAAAGCATGGCTGAGGCTGAATAAATGCCCGTTTTTTTTCCTTAGCTTCTCCCTCTCGGTCACAAAGCAGAGCATGAATTAGCTGAGCATCTGTTTTGTGCATAGCTCACAAGATGATTTCTGACTCAGAGGATATGAAAGGGCATTTCTGAGCCCTACTTCAGTAATCCTAGTTGCTCAGGAGGCTGAGATCTGAGGATCACAGTTCAAAACCACCTGAGGCCCTGTCCATGAGATGTATATCTAACTACCAAAAACAACATCAAACAAACCCAGAAGTGGAGCTGTGGTTCAAGTGGCAGAGTGCTAGCCTTGAGCACAAAAACTAAAGGACAAAGCCCTGAGTTCAAGCCCCAGCACCATTAAAAAAAAGAAAAAGGATTATGTATAATAGAACTGAAAAATTCCCATTATCCAGTGACATCATAGCTGTTGTCACCTGCTGGCAAAATTGCAAAATGGTCTAGGTGTTTATGGCACCATAGGTTAACACAAAGCTTCCAGTCATATAAAAGTAAAAGCCCAGTCAATGCCAGTGGCTCACATCTGTAATCCTAGCTTCTCAGGAAGCTGAGATCTGAGGATGGATGGCAGTTGGAAGCCAGGCCAAGCAGAAAAGTCCCCATGAGACTCTGATCTCCAATTAACCACTCAAAAACTGGAAGTGGTGCTGTGGCTCAAGTGGTAGAGTGCTAGTTTTGATCACAAAAAGCTCAGGGACAGAGTCCAGATCCTCAGTTCAAGCCCCATGACCAACAAAAAGGAAGAAGGAAATAAAAACAAAACAGTAACATTTTGGATTCAAGTATCCCAAGGGAAGAGGTAGCAAACATAAGATTGCCACATTTTGGCTATTATTAAAGATGGGCCTATGTTTCATTGATCTTTTACACTGACTTGATATTTTTCATGAGAAAATGTAAAAGAAACTGTCTTGAAAGGCTGAATCTGAGTAATAAGAGAAATGGATTGTTTTTCCCCCAGAAAGCTCTGAGAGGCAGCTGGTGTGTGTGTGTGTGTGTGTGTGTGTGTGTGTGTGTGTGTGTGTCCTGCTACTCTGGGGAATAATTAGGTGAAAGGAATCCACAGTAATCATACCTTCTTTGTTGCCTTTTTTGTTGTGCTTCTTCAGCCATTCGATATTTTTCCTTATGGCTTCCAAATAGGCTTCTGTTTTCCCTGGAAAAGACAAGAGAACTCTCTCATCAAATGTCCTCTCCTGTCTTCTCTGCCCTCCCCTCTCCCTCTCTCCCTTCCCCCTCTCTTTCCCTCCCTCTCCTCCCCTCCACTATATTCCCCTCCCCTCTCCTCCCTAGTCTTTCCCTCCTGTTCTGGCCTCTCCTCTCCTTCCTCCCTTTCCCTCTCTTCCCCTTCCCTCCCCCTCCTCTCCTCCTCTCCTTCCCTCCCTCCCCTCCCCTCTCTTTCTCTCTCTCCCTCTCTCTGGCCTCCTCTCCTGTCTCCTCTCCATTCTTCCCCTCTTCTCTCCTCCCCTCTCTTTCTTTCCTCTCTTTTCCTCAACTCCCTCTCCTCTTTTTTCCTCTTCCCTCCTGTCCCTCCCTCCCTTCCCCTTTCTCTCCCTTCCCTCTCCTCTCTTTCCCTTTCTCTCTTCCTTTACCTCTCCTCCTCTCTCCTCCTTTCTCTCCTTCCCTCCCCTCCCCAACCCTCTCCTCTCACCTTCCCTCCCCTGTCTTCCCCCTCTCCGCCCCCTACCTTGCCTCTGCCTCTCTTCTCCTCCCCTCTTGGCCCTCCCCTTTTCTCTCCCTGTCTGTCTTCCCTCTCTTCTCCTCCTATCCCCTCTTCTCCCCTCCTCTCCCTTTCTTCCTCTCTCCTCTCCCCTCTCCCTCTCTTTTTCTCCTTCCCTCTCCTCTTCCTTCCCTCCCCACCCTTTCCTTCTCTCCCTCTCTCCCATCCCTCTCTGCCTCTTACTTCCCTCTTCTCCCTTCCCCTTCCCTTCCTCTCCCCTCCCCCCTCTTTCCCCTCCTCTCTTCTCCCCTCTCCCCCACAGTCTGGAAGCCGCTGCCAGCTGGACAGGCAGAGGACACTAGACACTCGCAGGGGCAGGTGACACGGGGTGCTGCTGCACCCTGGCTGTTTCTGATTCCACTGTTTCTTGTGGGAGCTGGAAAGTGACTCTCACTTGGGCTGTGTGCAGGAGGCCCATGGGGTCGCTTGGGAAAGCTCTGCTATTTTTCTGCAATTGATTTCAGCTTCCTTCGGAAAATATAAATGGCTCATGGCTGAGGTAATAGGGTCTAATCCTTAGAGCACATGCTGGGGCCGACGGGGAAGAGGGCCAGGACAGAGAGGCGCCCAGCCCTGACTGCTCCACTTTTCAACACCCTAAGAAAAATCTCCCTTTCTGTGCATGCATTTGTCCCAGCTCAGCCTTGCTGTCTTGACCTTCTATCCCTGCCAAACCAATCAGTATGCTTAATGCTGCACACGCTAAAGATGTTACATCTTCTAAAAATGTTTATAGAGGCTTTTTTTTTTTGGCCCATACTGGTATTTTAACTTGGGGCTTTGAATTCATTTGCCTGCTCATTGCTGGTGCTTCACCACTTGAGCCACACTTCTAGCCTTACTTTTTGCTGGTAATTTTGGAGATGGACTCATTGGGGTTTTTTTGCCTTTGAACCGTGAGCCTCAGATCTCAGCCTCCTGAGTAGCTAGGATGACAGGCATGAGCCACTGGGTCCTGGCAAAAGTTAAGTTTGATATAATGTTTAAAAATGATGTTGTGATTTCACGATTACAGTTTCATGTGCAGACAGCAAAGCAATCAGTATTGGCATCATACATATGGCCAGAACCACCTAGCCACTGGGTTCAAGAACGTCTTTATTATGGTCACATTTGACATGTCTAGAAGGTGAGATGAGGAATATTGGAGGAGCGCTGAATTGGGAGTCAGGGGACCCTGTTCAAGTCCCAGCTCCATAGCTCTCTGGCTGTGAGATCTTGAGAATCACTTTACCTGTTGGGTTTTCTTTTACGGATTCGGTAGTTAAGAATTGTAACTTCTCCAAAGGCAATTCATATTTCTTCCCTCCCTGCCACTCCCCAGTAAATATACCTGTGTTGAAGCTGGGAACTGGTGGTTCATACCTGTAACTCTAGCTACTCAGGAGGCTGAGTTAGGAAGATAAAGTTTCAAAGCCAGCCTAAGTACAAAAGTACATGAGACTTTTCAATTCACCAATAAAAAGCTGGAAGTGGAGGTGTAACTCAAGGGTGAAGCACCATCCTTAAACAAAAAAGGCAAGGGAGAGTATGGGGTCCTGAGTTCAAGTCTAGTCCCTGAACAAAAAAAAGAGGAGGAGGAAGGTTCAATCCCAGGTGTTACCAAAACAAATCAATCCAACAATTTAAAAAAATGGCTCACTCAGGAAGACCAGAAATGCTATTTGTTTTTGGATATTTCTAGAAGAATGCTTGTTTTTATTTATCTTAAACAAGAGCATCCACATATATCATTAGTCAATGATCAGATCATTAATTGCGTAAGCTGACTTCTCTAGTCTAAAAATGATAAGGGTTGATAAGCTATTTAAGTGAAAATTAGTTGGCTATTTTAATTACATTATCTTGCCATCGATATGACAAATGACCACATTGTGGTGAGTTCAAAAGTGTTAGCATGCTGACCTCATCCTTGGGCTGATTGTTTAAAAAAGATTTGCAGTGACTCACACACCACAGTGAACAAGTAAACATCCAACTGGCAACAGTTGCTGAACTTAGAGAATGGAATAAAGTCTTTCCTTTGGTCTCTAGAGAGTAATTTGCTTGAAAAAAATATGGAGCAAGTTAATAGGGCTGGAATAAATTTTGTTTTATGGGTATATTCCTAAATTTTAGAAATGGTCATTGAATCATTCAAATAATTGTACTAATTAGGAATCAATGTTTGGGGGGAGAACAAAGGAAGGGCTGGCATTTTTTTTCAAGACTCACAGTACTCATAATCTGACTTATTGAAGTGAAACCCTTTTGCATGAACTACTTGAAATAAAAAAAAGGCAAAAAAAAGTGGGGAACACACAAAAGATACTACTCTATTAGTAGAGTGGTAACATAGAGATTAAATTAAAACTGTTTGGAAAAGTTATAATGGGCTCTTTTCTTCTTGAGGTGATTGAAAATTGTGAATATTCTCAGTGCCTTTAAATTGTTTATTTAGTGATTGATTTTGCAGTGCTGGGGGTCAAACCCAGGACCTCTTATTAGGCAAAAGGGCTCTACACTCCTCTCTTAATTGCTTCATTGTTTTAAAAGTTTAGTATAGAAGAATAGGGCACTGAATTCCCAATCAAGTTTTAGATTATGAAAGATAAGTGGTTTTGGCTATAAATGTAGGGAGAAATAGTCAAACAAGATGCTATACTCACAAATTCTTTCCTTCCTTCCTTCCTTCCTTTCTTCCTTCCTTCCTTCCTTCCTTCCTTCCTTCTTATGTTTCTGGCTTTCTTTCTTTCACTGGTCCTGGGGTTTGAATTTGGGCCTGGGCACTGTTCCTGAGTTTTTTGCTCAAGGCTGGTGCTCTATCACTTGGGCCACACCTCTACTTACTTTTATTTTGTGGTTAACTGGAGAGAAGAATCTCATGGATTTTCCTGCCCAGACTGGCTTCAAACTTCAATTCTCAGATCTCAGACATCCTAAGTAGCTAGGATTATGGGTGTGAGTCCCTGGCACCTGGTTGCTAGGGTCTTTCTTTATGCCCAGTTGGCCTGGATTGTGATCATCCTATCTGTGAGTCACGCTTTTAGGGTCACTTTTATGTGTTCCAAGCTTTTGTTTCTTCTGTTTTATTGGCCACCCAGATCTGTCACTTCTGTACCTTTTGGTTCATCTGTCTTTCTGCCTGGGCTTGAGTTCTCATCTTTTGTGGAATCCTTCAAGGTCCCATATTCCTTCTCCATCTTTGCAGCTTCTTCCTTGGTGCTATCTGTTTCTTCGTGAGTCTTTTCTGATGGTGCTGTAATCAGATTACATGTTGTTATTATAAGGGTATTTCTTATCTGCATTCATCTTGAACTCAGGGTCTTGGGCTTGCTCTGCTTTCTTACTAATGACTGCTGCTATATCCCTTGAGCTAGACCTGGAGCATAGTTTTTTTTGCTGGTTAATTGGAGATAGACTCTCACAGAGTTTCTGCCAATCCGGCTTCAAACCATGGCCTTCCAGGTCTCAACCTCCTGAGTAGTTAGAATTACAGGCGCCCACCAGCTAACAATGACATTTAAGATGGATTGCTTGGTTTTGTGAGGTAGCCATTTTCTGCCAGCCACCTCATAAAATCTCTGGTAAAAACATATTAGCCAGGTGCTGGTGGCTCACATCTGTAATCCTAGCTACATAGGAGGCTGAGATCTAAGAATCATGGTTTAAAGCTAGTCTGGGCAGGAAGGTCCATGAGACTCTTAATCTCCAGTTAACCAGCAAAGAGCCAGACATGGAGCTGTGGCTCAAGTGACAGACCAGCGTTGAGTACAAAAGCTCAGGAACAGTGTCCAGCCCCTGAATTCAAGCCATGGGATTGGCACTAAAAAAAGAAAAAAGAAGAAGAAACTTATATTACTTTCAGTGCTTTGGGTTGGTTAGATTTCTGTGCTATAATTGGCTGAGAAACAGCTAAGGTTACTTCTATTTATTCCTGTGTTGAAACCTATAATCCTTCATTCATGTTTCCTGAAGCTCATATTCACCACGCAAGAGTTATTCTACTAAAAACTAGAATAAATAGTGAAGTAAATCCTACCTGGGGAAAGCTTGCTTTTATTGTCAGTAGCGTTTTTTTCTAGCTTGCTTCTGGTCTGAAGAGCAATTGTTTCATCCAAGTTTTCTGCAGGGAGGAAGAGAAGAAAATATAATTTCACTTCCTGAGAGATGATATCATGCTTTTTACTAAAAATATCTAATCCTCCCCAGAAATATCACATCAGCAATTCCAAAATATTAACATTGCCGACAAGAAGCTTCAACTGAGATTTTATCCCTATGAATCACAGACTCTCAAGACAGAGAGGCATGTAAAAAGATCTTCACTTATGTGTCCATTGCTCAGACTTGGAGTAGGCATCTGTGGGTTTCACCTATACAACACCTCCTCATGGTGGCTGCATCTGGTTTTCTTCTTTGGGGAACCCTGCTTTCTCCTCTCCCTCCTTTGACTCCAGTTATAGTTGAATAAGCCAAGCCTGAAGTTAACCCAATGGCCTTGGGTTTGGACCAAAGAGGAGCTTGATGCTGAGCTATAGTGATTGGTTTAAGGAAGAGCATGTGACTCAACCTCAGCCAATAAGATTTTATACTAGGACCATTGGAAGAAAGAGGCACTTGTCCTGTCCTAATTGCTATCTGTGTAGAGATGATATTTGGTGGTTATACCATTACTGGTACCCACAAGGGAGCAGCCTGACTGGAATGAATCAGCACACAGAATCTGAGGACAGATTAATTCTTCACCTTATTGGCCGACTTCACAAGCCCAAAGCCAGGCTATCCTTTACCCTCTGAACAGTCTGCTCTCAGTTATACAAGGTCATAATTTCCTTTTTTCTTTTCTTTTCTTTTTTTTTTTTTGCATAAGCCAAACTGTGGGGTTAAGCAAAACAGGAACTTCACTTAAATTGTAGTAAAATGTAGAGAAAATCAGTACAGATCCTCAGTTAGTGTCAACTTATGAAGTCTTAAAAAAACTTTTTTTTTTTTAATGAGATGGGCCAGTTCAGGGCTGGCTTTGGACTCCTGGACAGAAGTTATCTTTCTGTCTCTGCTTTTTGAGTAGTTGGGACAATAAACATATGTCACCCCAGCTCTACACCTGGCTATAGGAAATTAGTGTTAAAAATCATACTTATGTGGGGGCTGAGAAGGTGACTCAGTGGTAGAGCGCTTGCCTTGCATGCATGAGGCCCTGGGTTTGATTCCTCAGCACCACATAAGCAGGAAAAAAAAAGCCGGAAGTGGTGCTATGGCTCAAGTGGTAGCGTGCTAGCCTTGAGCTGAAGAGCTGAGGGACAGCGCCCATGCCCAGAGTTCAGGCTCCACAACCGGACCCCCCCCCAAAAAAAAATCATACTTATGTGTAGAGACATTTCAGTAGGATTGGCGCACACACACACACACACACACACACACACACACACACACACACACACACACAGAGTCTGTGTGGAGATTAGAAAATGTTAGCAAGATTACATATAATAAAGGTGAAACTTTTAAATTCAAGATGGATCCATAAAGAGTTGAAAACTTCTGGTTAATTCGACTTGAATGTATTACCAGCTAGGGTAATTTCTGGTTACCCAGTGATCTGGGCTGTTTTGGCCTAAATCATCAAATTAGTGGGGTCATGGTTATCAAATCACTAGTTTACTTCTCAGTGAAAACCATCTTAGGAAAAATAGAGCAAATGGGATTCTTACCAAGGTAGGAAACACCTTCTTCTGGTGATACTGTGCCATACTTTACCATCATCTTCACAAAATCAATCAGTGTTTTCATGATGGTGATCAGTGTTTCTTTTTCTTTTGCCTCTTTTTCTGTATTAAAAAAATGAAATAAAGAAAACTAGTGCCAAAGAGTCTCGTTTCTTCCTTTCTTCTTTCCCTTCCTCCTTCCCTTCCTTTTTTCCCTCCCTCCCTCCTTTCCTCCCTCCCTTCCTCCATTCTTCCTTTTTTCCCCCCTTCTTTTTTGCTTTTGTTTTTGTGCTGGTCCTGGGGCTTGAACTCAGGGCCTGGTGCTTCCCCTAAGCTTTAGCACTCTACCACTTGAACTACAGCTCCATTTTTGGCTTTTTTTTTTTTGTAATTTATTCGAGATAGGAGTTTCCTGGACTTTTCTTGCCTGTGCTGGCTTTGAACCATGATCCTAGATCTCAGCCTTCTGAATAAGTAGAATTACAGGTGCCAGCCATGGACACCCAGCTCTATTTCTTTATTTTATTTTGTTTTTGTTTTTGTCGGTCATGGGGCTTGAACTCTGGGCTTGGGCGCTGTCCCTGCATTCTTCAGCTCAAGGCAAGCACCCTACCTCTTGAGCCACAGAGCCACTTGTGGTTTTCTAGTGGTTTATTGGAGATAAGAGTCTCATGGACTTTCCTGCCCAGGCTGGCTTTGAACCATGATCCTCAGATCTCAGCCTCTTGAGTTGCTTTGATTACAGGCATGAGTTACCGGCACCCGGGTTATTTTGTTTTTTTCATGAACGTATGTGACCAGTACAAGGGAGTTTCATTGTGGTGGTTTCATTGCTATGTATAGTAGATTTTGAACAAGTTCATTCCCTTGATTATTTTCACTTATTCCACCTTCTTGCCAATTCCTTTTCCAAATAGCATTTGTGCATTTCATTATGAAATCTTCAGCTAGATAAATAGATGATAGAAGCTAGATAAATATATTGACATATAATAGAAGATAAATAGACATAAGATAGATAGATAGGCCAAGTGCTGCTGGTTCAAACCTGTAATCCACCCCAGGCCACCAGTGACTCTCCCTTGGGACCCTTCCTGTCTAGTGAGAGTTCTATTTCTTGTCAGTAAATCCTTGTCATTTTACTTCTCTCTCTGGGTTCATGGGCTCCTTCTTTGAGACCACTGAGACAAAGGACCTGATCTAAGTCTAGCAACTCACCTTCCTTCTTCCTCTCCCTGCATTTATGTATTTATATATTTACTTATTGGCAGTTGTGCAACTTGAACATAGGGTCTAGGTGCTGTTGCTGAGCCTTTTCTAGTCAACGCGAGAGCTCTACCACTTTGAGCCACAGCTCTATTTCCTGTTTTCTGGTGGTTAATTGGAGATAAGAATCTCAAGGATTTTCCTGCTCAGGTTGGCTTCAAACCCTGATCCTCAGATCTCAGCCCGGTGAGTAGCTGGGATTATAGGTGTGAGCCATCAGGCCCAGCTCTTTCCCTGCCTTTAATTTCTCATTTAGTTCAGACTTTGGGTGAAAAGAACAGGTATTAACAAAGACCTCAGTAGATGTCATTAAAATTCTGGAAAAACAAAGGCAATGAGGAATCAAGTGAAGAAAACAGCAAGTTCAAAACAAAGACTATACTATCTAATAAGGTGGGTTGTTTTGTTTTGTTTTGTTTTGAATCGTGGGGCTTGAACACTGGGCCTGGGTGCTGTCCCTGAGCTCTTCAGTTCAAAGGGAGCACTCTACCACTTGAGCCACAGTGCAACTTCCGGTTTTCTGGTGGTTAATTGGAAATAGTCTCACAGACTTTCCTGCCTAAGCTGGCTTTGAACTGTGATCCTCAGATCTCAGCCTCCTGAGTAGCTAGGATTACAGGCTTGAGCCACTGGCGCCCAGCCCAATAGTGTTTTAAATATTCTCTCTCCCCCCTACCCACCCACAGGCTGGGATGAAGGCAATGTGGGAGAAGAGATCCTGAGAAATAACTGAGAAATGACTCCAGCCACCATTTTCTTGGTTGAAGGTCACAGCCAGGAACTTGATATCATGCTGATGCTCTTCTCTGATGAGAAGTGACTCATAGCAGCAATGGTTCTGAGCTGGGCGTCTGCCATCCACTGGGGCAAGGTGACTCAGAACAGACCCTCTAGATCTACAAGCTCTGCAGATACCAGCAGAGGGTTGGAGCCACCTGGTCACGGTCTGGGATTGAAGGACAACAGGACAATGTACAGGAATGAAAGCTGACTCTCAGGTCGCTTCCTGAAGGCCATAGAATATAATTACAGAAAACTGGGGCTGGGAATGTGCTTAGTGGTAGAGTGCTTGCCTAGCATGCATAAGCCCTGGGTTCAATTCGTCAGTACCACATACACAGAAAAAGCCAGAAGTGGCTCTGTGGTTCAAGTGGTAGAGTGCTAGCCTTGAGCACAGAGAGGCTCAAGGACATTGCCCAGGCCCTGAGTTCAAGCTCCAGGACCAGAAAAAAATATATATATAATTACAGAAAACTGTATATGAGGTTGGATCTAGAGCTGTGTCTTTGAAAAGGGAGAGAAAGTGCTATCTAAGACAATGCAGGGCATATATCCTAACAATAACAATAAAAGAGTGGGTGTTATTAGTCCCTTTGCAGATTAACTAAAAGAAAACATGAACTGAAATCCTCCAGCTAATGCAGTGTATCTGCAAGAGAGGAGATCAGGACATTTGAAGGTGTTGTTTTTTGTTTTTGTTATTTTTGTGGGTGGGGGGGTACTGGGGCTTGAACTGGCCCTGAGCACTGTCCCTGAGCTCTTTATTGCTCACTGCTAGTGCTTTACTACATGAACCACAGCTCCACTTCTAGCTTTTTTTTTTTGCGATTAATTGGGAGATGAGCATTTCATGGATTTTCCTGACTGGGCTGGCTTCAAACCAAGATCCTCAGATCTCAGCCTCCTGAGTAGCTAGGATGACAGGTGTGAGCCACTGGCTACCTGGCAAAGTCTTGGTTTAAAACAAAAGCAAAACCAAATAATTTCCCAGAGTGGTTTGGACTTTCTGGCTTCTCTTCAGCGAGGGTCTATTCTGACTCATTTAGAAAGCCGAAACTGGCCATGTCTGTGCTGAGTATCTTGAGGGCCTGAGCCACCAGGGCCGAGGTAATCCAGGTTTTTTGAAAAGAAAAATGATGCGATTTTCCCCCGCAAGTTCCCTCATATATGTCACTGAGGAGTATATTTGGAACCTGAAAACAGGAAGATGACACCCCACACAATTTCCTAGAAGCACTATTTCTAGTCCACATGGTAAGGGAAAAAAACCCAGAGGTTACCTGAATCGATGCTTTTCAGAAGAGCATAGAAGTTTGGGAAATACTGGAGTTCCTCAAAGCTGTCCTCACTGTAGGTTTTAGTTCTCCTTTCCAGGCCATTCGTCAAGGTCAAGGCATTTGATACCGTTTCATCATCATCTCCATTACTGAAGCCATCTTGAATCGCTGCCATCGGAGGAGTCTCCAGCCATGAAAGAAATCAATAATAATAATAATAATACAAAAGTAAGCATGTGGAGCTGCGTGCTGGTGGCTCATTCTTGTTTTGTTTGTTTGTTTGTCAGTTGTGGGGCTTGAACTCTGGACCTGGGCGCTTTCCCTGTTCCCCCCCCTTCAGCTCAAGGCAGTACTCTACCACTTGAGCCACAGCACCACTTCCGGTTTTCTAGTGGTTTACTGGAGATAAGAGTCTCACAGAGTTTCCTGCTCAAGCTGGCTTTGAACTGTGATTCTCAGACCTCAGTTTCCTGAATAGCTAGGATTAAAAGCATGAGCCACTGGCGCCCGGCTTGGTGGCTCATTCTTATAATCCTAGCTACTCAGGAGGCTGAGATCTGAGGATCCAGATTCAAAGTCAGCCCAGGAAGGAAAGTCTGGGCGACTCTGATCTCTAATGATCCACCAAAAAGCTGGAAGTGGAGGTGTGGTCAAGTGGTAACTCTACCACTCTAGCCTTGAGCAAAAAAGCTTAGAGACAGTACCCAGACCCTGAGTTCAAGCCCCAGTACCAGTGCTCAAAATTAAAAAAATAGTAAGCATTTGGTTAGAATTAATGTTTCACTTGTGTACTTGAAAGACAAGAAAGCTTCCTCCTTTGCATGTGTTGGAAGGATTTTTCCTGAGCTTGTGTGTACCTAACCCTAATGACTAAGGTCACTGGGACTCAGTGAAAGGTGAGACCCCTCCTAAAGTCCATGACATGATCCTCAACTCTCAGCCTTCTAAGTAGCTAGGATTACGGGCGTGAGACAACGGTGCCTGGTGCCATCAGGAATATTAAAGAGAATTCAAGACAAGGGGCAGGGGAGAGAATTTCAGAGCTTGGTTGATACTAAGGGGGAAAAATGAAGAAGTGAGGAGTCCATCTAAGAGAAGAAAGGATGAATGACAAGGGTAAATGGGAGATGACAGACAGGCTTCAGGACCAATGCAAAAGGGTAGGGGCAGGTGGAAGAGCACTAACTGAATTGAAAGGCAGCTCAAGGCAGAACACAGCAGCCATGGCAGTCACTCCTGCAGAGGATCTACATGGTTTTTTGTTTTTTGGGTTTTTTTTGGCAAGAGTGTGTATGTATGCATGCGTATGAATGTGTGTGTGTGTGTGTGTGTGTGTGTGTTGGGGCAGATGATGAGATCTCTAGCAATCAAACAGAATACCAGAAAAACTATGTGATGTTGGGTCTAGCATACTGATACTATTGATACTATGAAAATAATTGTTATTATGTGATGTTGTTATTTCCATATTATTATTATTGTTATTATTATTATTTTGCCAGTCCTGGGGCTTGAACTCAGGGCCTGGGCACTATCCTTGAGCTTCTTTTGCTCAAAGCTAGCACTATACCACTTGAGCCACAGTGCCACTGCTGGCTTTTTTCTGCTTATGTGGTACTGAGGAATCAAACCCAGGGCTTCATGCATGCTAGGCAAGCACTCTACCACTGAGCCAACTTCCCAGTCCCTTATGTGTTATTTTTATAGTGTGGAATAAGATTTTTTAAAAAAACCTTTACTATATGAGTATGTCATCTCTAAATTATTTTTAATCTCTTATTTTTCTAAGCAGAGATCATTTATATCTTTGATCTTAATAGTATCTTATGAATATACATTTTAAGTGGGCTAAAAGTGCTGCTTATTCCAAGTTTCCTTTTCTCATTCTCTCTCTTTCTTACTTTCTTCCCTTTCATTTTTTGTGGTACTGGGGTTCAAACTCAGGGTCTTGTGATTACTAGCCAAGAGTTCTACATTTAAGCCACAGTGCCAGGCCTCCAAATTTCCTTAAGTAAGATAGTAATTATGTACACACCCAAACAGATTCATAGACTCACATACCACACACATGTACATACCACTTTCTCTGGTATTTTTCCAGCCTGGTTCTCAGTCCTGCTTGTGGATTTATTGAGCTCCTCCTCATAATTTGTGGCTTCCTTTGAAATTAACTGTTGTAATGCCTCTGCAACTTCATCTTCCAGCGTGTGGGCCTGGCTTTCAGTGATCTGTTGGAAAGAAGCAAAGCCTAAGTAGTCAGTATGTTCATTCTTGTGATTTAAAAACTCTATACTAAGCAGGGCTCCGGTGGCTCACAACTGTAATCCTAGCTACTCAGGAGACTGAGATCTCAGGATCACAGTTCAAAGCCAGCCCGGGCAGGAAACTCTGTGAGACTCTTATCTCCAATTAACCACTCAGAAAACCGGAAGTGGTGCTGTAGTACCACATATTTTTTTTTTCTTGTCCAAGTACTGGAGCTTGAACTCAAAGCTTAGATGCTGTCCCTTAGCCTTTTTTACTCAAGGCTGGCACTGTACCACTTGAGCCACAGCTCTACTTCTGGCTTTTTGTTGGTTAATTAGAGAGAAGAGACTCAGGGACTTTCCTGCTGGGGCTGGCTTTACAGTATGATTCTCAGATCTCAGCCTCTTGAGTTGCTAGGATTATTAGGTGAGCCACTGGTGCCTAGCTCCTGAACACATATTTTTACGAAGATTCTGGAGTGCTCTTTCTGGATGATCCTTCCTGCTACGTCTACTACATACTGGTATTAAAGTAATTGCTCAGTACCCTGGGAAGAAGTGACTTTGGGTCAGCCATGGCAAGATGTCAGTTCCACCATGTTGAGAACCATAGGCATGTTTTAGAAATACCCTGTAGAGTTGATCCCCTTTATCTGCAGGCCATAGTGGGTAGCTGAGAAGTTAGCACCTTACTAAAACCTCCAGGGCTGTGTCATAGCTGAGGAGCTAACATAAGCTTGGAAAATGAAATGGCTTCGGGTTTCTCGAACACATGATGTCTGCCCTTGCTCAGATGATTTCTCTTTCCTCCTCCATCCTCCTTAGCTCTTATGATTATGTTCTCCCAGCTCTTCTAAGATCATTCCAACATGTCTTCTTCTGAGGCCCCTTTCCTAACCTCCAAATGGAGACAAACCATTCTCCAGCAATCAATTCTGCTTTTATGACACATAAGTATGGCTTGTAGTGTGTGTGTGTGTGTATGTGTGTGTGTGTGTGAAGTTATCTGGTTCTTCTGATAGACTCTATAAACTCCCCAAGGGAACCCTAGGGTGCTCAAAACAAAACAGATGATGAATTGTAAACACTTAGCTACTTGAATCACATGACTTGGTTTCTTGCTCCAAATGGAGCAAAGAATTTGGTTTCCTCTCATGCATCCAATTTACCAGGCCAAGGTTCAGAAGCTTGGAAACAATCTTGTCAAATACTCCTCTGTCATTCTCCTCGTAAATCCTGCTGGCAATTTTATGGACAATGTCTTCAGCCGTCAGAGGAGTCCCATCCAGTTGATGAAGACCATCAGGATCATCTACACACAATAACCATGATTTCATAGCACAGTGATCATAGACTCATTACATAGGTCATATTCTAGTTACCATCTATACTTTGCTTTTCTATATTCAGACATGTTTGAAGTATGTTATAGTGGTGTTCGGAGTTGAAAGCCAGCCCGGGCAGAAAAGTCCGTGAGGCTCTGATCTCCAATAAACTACTAAAAAACTGGAATGATCTCCAATAAACCACTAAAAAACCGGAAGTGGCACTGTGGCTCAAGAGGTAGAGTGCTCACCTTGAGCTGAAGAGCTCAGGGACAGCGCCCAGGCCCAGAGTTCAAGCCCTATGACCGGCAAAAAGAAAAGAAAAGAGAAGAAACTCTTGGTTTAAAATAAAATTAGGAGCCAGGAAATGGTGGCTCATACCTCCTAGCTAGTCAGGAGGCTGAGATCTGAGGATCACAGTTCAAAGCTGACCCAGGCAAGAACGTCCATGAGACTCTTTTATCTCCAAAGCCAGAAAAACCCTCTTTCAAAAAAAAAATCAATTTATTTGTCACTAGTAATACAAACAATGCTATACTTTTTTCATAGTATGCTGTGTGCATATAGGATGTCATATTATTCAAAGCATTTTTCTATGCATTGCATATTTTGATGATGTATGTCTACATTAATTACAGATTGGTACTATCCCCATATGCTCTTCCTTTGCAGGAAAATGTTTGGGCTAGGGGTGGAGGAGCCTACCACATACCTGGAATCATCATGTGTGAACTAAGAGTTTGATGACTTAACTGGATTAAGTACTTTTTAAATTTATTTTGTTTTTAGTTGGCCATGGGGCTTAAAGTCAGGGCCCGGGCACTGTCCCTGAGCCTTTTTTCCCTCAAGGCTAATACTCTACCACTTTGAGTCACAGCACCACTTTTGACTTTTTCTGTAATTAATTGGAGATAAGAGTCTCCTGGGCTTTTTTGCTAAGGTTGGTTTTGAACTGTGATCCTCAGATCTCAGCCTACTGACTAGCTAGGATTACAGGTGTGAGCCACCAACGCCCACCCAGTATTTAATTCTAACAGAATCTATGTCAGGATGGCTTTATATAAGGCATTATAGTATGATAATTCATTCTTCAAAGAACTTTAAACTTGTGAGTGTGGAATAACATTTTTTAATATATTAATTGAATGCCAGGCACCAGTGGTTCATATCTGTAATCTTAGATACTCGGGAGACTGAGATCTGAGGGTCTCAGTTTGAAGCCAGCCCAGGAGGACAATTCTGAGAGCCTCTTATCCCCAATTAGCCACCAAAAATCAGGAAGTAGAGCTGTGGCTCACGTATAGAGTGTCAGCTTTGAGAGGAAAAAGTTAAAAGAGAGCTCCCAGGTGCTGAGTTCAAGCCCCATGACTGGCACACACACACACACACACACACACACACACACACACACACAAAACCCTCCTTCAGCTAAATTAAAGAACTCTTTTTTTTTTTTTTTTGGTCATGGGGCTTGAAGTCTGGGCCTGGGCGCTGTCCCTGTGCTCTTTAGCTCAAGGTGAGCGCTCTACCGCTTGAGCCACAGCGCCATTTCTGGTTTTCTAGTGATTTATTGGAGATAAGAGTCTCACAGAGTTTCCTGCCTGGGTTGGCTTTAAACTGTGATCCTCAAATCTCAGTGTCCTGAGTAGTTAGGGATTACAAGCGTGAGCCACCTGCACCGGGCAAGACTAACTCTTGATAGTTCTAAACCTACTTGAGGTGATAATAAAGTGTTGGACAATTAAAAACCTTAGTTGCTCCAGATAGTGCTAAAATCACATGCAAATTTGTATCTTTGTTTTTAAAAATGTGTGTTATTGGGGCTGGGAAGGTGGCTCAGTGGTAGAGGGCTTGCCTTGCATGCATGAGGCCCTGGATTCGATTCCTCAGCACCACATAAGCAAAAAGAAAAAAGCCAGAAGTGGCACTGTGGCTCAAGTGGTAGAGCGCTAGCCTTGAGCTGAAGAGCTGAGGGACAGCGCCCAGGCCCAGAATTCAGGCCCTACGACCGGACTCTCCCCCGCCCCCCAAAAAATGTGTGTTAGTGATCAATCCAATTGAACAAACAATAGATTCTGTGTGTATGTGTGTGTGTGTGTATGTATAATGGTACTGGGGCTGGAACCCAAGGCCCTTATGCATGCTAGGCAACTGCTGTATCACTAAGCTACATCTTCAGTTCCTAAACTGTTTGATATTATTACTTAAAGTTTTTTTGTTGGTCATGGGGCATAAACTCAAGGCCCAGGCATTGTCCCTGAGCTCTTTTACTCAACGCTAGTACTCTACCACTTTTGTGCCAGAGTACTACTTCTGGTTTTCTGGTAGTTAATTGGAGATAAGAGTCTCAGAGGGAATTTTCTGCTGGGCTCGCTTCCAACCACACTCATCAAATCTCAGCCTCCTGAGTAGCTAGGATTACAGGTGTGAGCCACTGGTGTCTGGTTCCTGTTTGACATATATATATGTATATATATATATATACATATACATATATAATATATTAATATATATAATATATATGTATAATTTTTGCCAGTCCTGGGGCTTGAACTAAGGGTCTGAGTACTGTCCCTAATGCTTCTTTTTGCTCAAGGTTAGCACTTTACCACTTGAGCCACAGCACCACATCCAGCTTTCTCTGTTTATGTGATGCTGAGGAATCCAACCCAGGTCTTTGTGCATGCTAGGCAAGCACTCTACTGCTAAGCCACATACCCAGCCCTGATATATATATTTTTTACTTTAATTAAATCACATGGTCTGTTCAAAGCGATTAAATTTGTTTTAATTCAGTTATCCCACTGTCTATTTTTAGTCCAAATCTTAGGTTAAAAAGCAGAATTCAAGCTTTAAATTTTATTTTCCTGAGTAGCATAGATTAATATGCGACAAAATCTAAGCCATCATCTCCACTCCAAACTTGTACATTTCTGAACTCTCCTCTCGCTGTGACGTTCAATGAAAATCCAATTTAATTGGCAGCTATTTTCCAGCAGAGATAATTAGTGTAATTCTCTTGTTGCCATGGAACAAAATCAGGCATAGAAGAAAGCCTGCGCTCTGTCCTAAGCACTGGTCTGCAGAATGGAAAACACTCTCTTCCTCAATGCCTGGCGACAGCAATTCACTTGTTCCCTCATGTTCTTTCATTTGTTTATTCATTTAATTCATAAAGTCATTCATTGAATTCATGAGCATTCACTGGAACTGTAGTTTCTCTGTTCTTGTTTAATTCTCAGTTTAGTTTTGGAGAGAGACATTCAGCGTACGTTTATGCATATAAACAACAGTGATCCTCAGCTCTCAGCCGCCTCTTGAGTAGCTAGGATTACTAGTATGAGTGACCTTGGCCAAGTTTGAGATGTATACTTTTTAAAGAGAAGTCTTTAAAAAATTAACCTGAATGAGAAACTTCAAATTAGAGAAAATAAATAGTAAAAAAGTTCTTTTTTTAATTACCTTGAAATTTTTGCTCCAATCCACTCTTGGTGGAATCATAGTCATCAACCAGTTTTCGATTCTTGGTTGAATCAACATCTTCCACAGTCAGTTTATTAGCCAGTGGAGAGCTTCTTATGGATTGTCTGTCTTTCTCAGGTTTTTCTTTTTCTGTTATTGCCTTTAGCAGATTCAAGTTATCAGCAAAAGAATAATTGCTTTCACCTACTTTGTTTTCTGTTTAAAAAAAAAAAAGCCCCAAACCCAACACAACCATTTTAGTTAATGTACTCACAGTTTACATTACATATTTTAGTATCAGTCAGATTCTTTTTTACCTGGAGGGGATGTTTTTTTAATCTTATCTGCTTCAGCTTCAGCAATCTGTAAAAAGAACATAGATCCCAGCTTTAAATCATTGCTTCATGACTTACCAAGTATTAGAGCCAAATGGTTTAATCTCCATTGGATGTAGTTCTCCTGTTCATACAATGTATTTAATAATGCTCATCCAAAGGCATTGTTATAAGAATTAAATGAGATTTAAAGAGGGCTGATGTGTTATAACATAATTCCTTTCTGCTATCATATTGGTAACAAACAAACCTTTGGCAAACTAAGTAATCAGGATAGATATGATGTTGAACTTACTGAGTTATTTATATAGTCAACACTACACATTATGCAAAACTCAATGTGCAGATTGTTAGGCGTAGAAATGACCAGCACTTATTTTCCCGTTCTCATTTTTATTCATTTGTTATTAATTCCTCTGAAGTTTGTAAATTTGAAATGGCTAAAATGTCACAAGACAATTATATTAATGAAAGAATTACAATTACATTAATGATATGGGTTATTAACATTTTAATTCAGACTTACCTGTTCATTCAAAGGCCTTTCTGCACTCAGTTCTCTATTATGTAGAGATTGGTCTAGGATCAATAAATGCAAATATAAATATAATTATTCACTGGAAAATATATATTTAAATGTTCCAAAACAATTTAAAATAAATATTAGGAGAAATAATTCTGAATGCCTATGAAACAAACTAGATATAAAAGATTGTTAGTAGTATACAGTGGAGATGGAGATCAGCTTTGCCTTATGTTTCTCTTGGTGTGCTTCAGGAGTTAACAAAATCACCTTTTTTGTGTTCTAGCCAGAAATTAAACATAGCATCTTCACGCTTGATTTATCAGCTTTCCTCCACTAGGAATAGCATAACTTGGGTTAGCATTATTGGCACACTACAAGCTCTGTCATCAGATGCTGTAGTATAAATAGAATATCTGAGAAAGGTTGTAAAACCCTTTGGAAAGAAAGAAATCCCAGGCCACTTTAAGAGGAAGAGGCACCTCGATCTCCCTTCCAAAATAAGATCTTAGAAGAAAAACAACAAAAAGAGCCCATGTTACTCTGTCATTAAAAAAGCCAAGGGGAGAAAAAAAAATCCCTGTCTCTGAATTCAAGCTGACTTTTGGTCACTACACAAAGATAGGATCTAAGCCGAGAACAAGGCAGGGTGATTTACAGCTCACAGCTCATGCGAAACATTTCCCTGTTCCTGGCAAAATAAATAAATTAATTAAATTAAATAAAATTTTAAAAAGGAGAGGGGAAGAAGAAAAGTTTCCACCTTACCTTGATTGCCTCCAGGTTTAGGGAAAGCTTGAATTGGGCTACCGTGGAATATCAACACCAAAATGCAAGTGCCAGTCCACAGGAACCCCATTCTTTCACACTGGGCTTCAGCAAAGAGCTTGGCGCCAAGGCTCTGGGGAGCTGTAGCTTTTGTGATGAATGAAAAGGGGACCGTGGGGTAGGGGAAAAAACAACAACAACAAACCAACCAACCACAACCCAACCAACAAAACAAAACAAGAAGGGCCAAGAGGATTGGGTTGGAGGGAGGGAGAATGAATTGCAAAGATCTGGGGCGGCCTGTAGGCTCTGCCCTGCAGGTTTAAGCAGATGCCAGGGCTGGCGGATCTGCAAGGTGCAGGCGAGCGCTGTCCACCCCGCGGGTGCTGAAGTTCCTGTGACGCGGGCCGGGGCCGGGGCGTAGCTTTATTCTTGCTCCCTCCTGAAAAGGAAGTGAGCAGAGAGGCCGCATGCGCTCTGCAAGCCAGAGGCGGGAAGGGATGGCGTCAGCGACTCCAGTGCCATTTTCCATCCCCTGGGAAGGGACAGGGCCGGGGGAGGGGCGATCTTGTCTTCCCTGCTTCGGTCATAGGTGCGCTGTAAGCCCTCTCTCCAGGAACTCTTATTTCAAGGACTAAATGGCTTCTCTGTCCAAGCACCTGTCAAGGAGTTAGATAATTTTGTGCAAAGAGGGTATTTTTGTTTTGTTTTGTTTTTTTGCATTAGGATGTTTCTTCTGCCATCTCTGCTCCAAACTCTCTTCTCTACCGAATCTACTCCAAAGGTAGATACAGTTCCATGATCCTGACTTCCATCGTGTGTGTTGATATATCAGGCATCCCTTGATGCTCTTTATTTTTTTTTATTGTTTTTGATATGTTGATCGGTCGTGCGGCCTCAACTCTGAGCCTGGGTGCTGTCCTGGAGCTCAAGGCTAGCACTCTACCACTTGAGCCACAGAGCCACTTCCGGCTTTTTCTGCTTATGTGGTGCTGAAGAATCGAACCCAGGGCCTCATGCATGCAAGGCAAGCACTCTACCACTGAGCCACCTTCCCAGCCCGATGCTCTTTATTTGTCTGTCATGGATGGGAGAAATTGCAGGAACATTCTTCCAAATAGTCACCTTGTGCCAGCCAACCTCATTCTTCTAGGTGTAAAAACACAACCCCAAATCATTGCATGAGTGGTTCACATCTGTAATCCTAGCTACTCAAGAGGCTGAGATTGGAGGATCATGGTTTGAAACTAGCCTGAGCTGGCTTATCTCCAATAAACCCCAAAACAGCTGGAAACTGGCATTGGAGCTGTGGCTCAAATGGTAGGTAGTGGTCTAACCTTGAGCAAAAAAGCTCAGGGGTAGTGTCCATGCCCTGAGTTCAAGCCCCAGGACAGGCACAACAAACAAACAAAGAAAAAAAAAAACCTTCCTGTTTCCTTAAGACTACAAAGCAGAGACAGCCAGGATTTTTGGTTTTGTACTGGTACTAGGGATTGAACTCAGGGCCTTGAGTCCTTGCTTAGTATTTTTGCTCAAGGCTGTCAACTCTGCCTGGGCTGGTTTGGAACCTTGAGTCTCATCTCTAACCCTCCTGAGTAGGTAGAATGATAGGCATGAACCACCACTGCTTGGCTTCAGCAGTTTTATTCTCTTCTCCCTACCTAATGGGAAGAAGTTGCACTTTGGTAATATTCTTCTCCAGGTCTCAATTTTATCTAAGGACTTGGCTTTTGCATCCATATCCACATACATACATACTTACATACTACATACATACAGAGGGATTATCATTTTCATAAATCAGGCAATGAGTACAATTCTTCTTTTTTTGCTGTTGCTTTTGTTGGTTGTGGGGCTTGAACTCAAGGCCTGGGCACTGTCCCTGAGCTTTTTTGCTTAAGGCTAATGCTCTATCACTTTGAGCCACAGCTCTACTTCCAGTTTGGGGGCAGTTAATTGGAGATAAGAATCTCAAGGGGCTGGGAAGGTAGCTCAGTGGTAGAGCGCCTGCTTTGCATGCGTGAGGCCCTGGGTTCTATTTCTCAGCACCACATAAGAAAAAAAATGGAAGTGGCACTGTGGCTCAAGTGGTAGAGCACCAACCTTGAGCTAAAGAGCTGAGGGACAGCGCCCAGGCCCAGAGTTCAGGCCCCACGACCGGACCCAAAAAAAAAAAAAAAAAGAATCCCAAGGGCTCTCATGCCTAGGCTGACTTTGAACCTCAATCCTCAGATCTCAGCCTCTTGAGTAGCTAGCTAGGATTACAGGCATGAGCCACCAGTGCCCAGCTTATGAGTACAATTCTTTTTGGACAATATCACCCTTTCCTTCACTTTCCCCTCTGTCCCAGCCTACAATTTGTGTAGTACATTTTCTACATAGTGCATACTGACTTTCATCTCTGTAATTCCTCTCTTGCCCCCACTAAAAAAAAAATAAATAAATAAAAATAAAAAACAAACAACAGCACCAACATGAGCATCAACAATAACAAAAAAACCCTTATGTTTCTATTTCCTGGAATTTGTTTAGATAAATAGTATTTTTAATATTCAGAGGGCTTATGCCTTTGAGTTGCTTCCCTAAGAGTATCCTCCTTTAGTTTCTGTGTGAATGTGTAAATTATCATGTCCAGTTGTATTTTAGATCTAGCTCCAAGGAAGCAGTTTATCATAACTACAGTCTGGGAGGTGCTTGCTCTATTCTGAGACTATGCCCCAGAGGCCTAGGGCCACTGCATACAAGCTGCTTTTAAGTGGTGAATACAAGGAACATAATGTGAGCCGAGTGCTGAGTAAGCTCTTTAGTCCTGATTTTTAAACAGAACTTGGATCTTTTTCTTTGAGCTACAGCTTGCTGGGAACTAGTTTGTATAATGACCAAAGGGAAGGCTGGCATACAATGCTGCCTTTGATTTCTGTACCCCTCCTTTTGGAGGCGCAAGTTTGTTATTGAAATATCAAAAAACAAACAAACAACCAAGCCACAAGAAAACTGCCCTCATCCTGGAGGTTTGTGAGTTTGGAGGTCACACAAACACCCCCTTTAAGAACCTAAAATGTACTTCTTGTTTTTAATGTCTGTTTGCAGTGAATCTTTTTTTTTTCTGTTGGTATAAAATTGTGCTTATTTGTGGAGTTACAGAGTACTTCCAAATGTAACAGCTACTTCAAGATAAATAGCTCTTTCTTGGCAGTAATACTGTAGTATTATTCTAATATATGCCGTTCTTTTTGTTTGTTTTTCTTTTTTTTTTCTTTTTGCCAGCACTAGGGCTTGAACTCAAGGCCTGGGTGCTGTCCATTAGCTTTTTTTGCTCAAGGGTAGCACTCTATCACTTGAACCACAGCTCCATTTTCCACTTTTTGGTGGTTAATTAGAGATAAGATTCTACAGACTTTTCCTTTCCAGGCTGGCTTTAAACTGTGCTCCTCAGATCTCAGGCTCCTGAGTAATTAGGATTATAAGTGTGAGACATCAGCTCCTGGCTGTAATACCTTTAACATATTTCTTTTTGTTTTTGTTTTTATTTTTTTGTCGGTCTTGAACTCTGGGCCTGGGCGCTGTCCCTCAGCTCTTCAGTTCAAGGCGAGCGCTCTACCACTTGAGCTACAGTGCCACTTCCAGTTTTCTGCTGGTTTATTGGAGATAGGAGTCTCACGGTCTCTCCTGCCCGGGCTGGCTTTGAACCACGATCCTTAGATCTCAGCCTCCTGAGTAGCTAGGATTACAGGGGTGAGCCACCAGCGCCCGGCCTTTAACATATTTCTTAAGAACAATATGGCCATTGTGTGATCAAATATACAGTCAGAGCTTCAGTTTCCCCATTCTCCTTGTAAATATACTTTCTGCATCATTACGTGATTTTGTCATTGTGTGATCATCACTAAGAAAGCCACGTGGTCCCTGGGCACCATCATACATGTGATCCATCTTTATTCAAAGTGTTGTTACACAACCCATGATTGTACAGACAGTATTTGTTCCTTGGTGGACTTCACAGGTTTTGTATATTCAGTCTGTGTTAAGTTGAAACCATTTTTACCAAGCACCTGTAGCTCACGCCTGTAATCATAGCTACTGAGGAGGCTGAGATCTGAGGATTGCGATTTAAAGCCAGCCTGGGCAGGAAAGTCCATTCTTTTCTTTTCTTTCTTTCTTTCTTTCTTCCTTCCTTCCTTTCTTCCTCCCTTCCTCCCTTCTTTCTTTCCTTTCTTTTTTTTTTTGTACTCAGGGCCTGGGCATTGTTGCTGAGCTTCTTTTGCTTGAGGCTAGCACTCTACCACTTGAGCCACAGCACCACTTCTGGCTTTTTCTGTTTATGTGGTGCTGAGGAATCGAACCCAGGGCTTCATGCATGTTAAGCAAGCACTCTACCCCTAATCCATATTCCCAGCCCTAAATTCATGAGATTCTTTTGTTGTTGTTGGTGGTGGTGGTGGTCATGGGGCTTGAACTCTGGGCCTGGGCGCTGTCTTTGAGCTCTTCAGATCAAGGCTAGTGCCCTACCACCTGAGCCAGAGTGCCACTTTGGTTTTCTGGTGGTTAATTGGTGATAAGTCTCATGGATGTTTCTTCCCAGGCTGGCTTTGAATCTCAGTCCTCAGATCTCAGCCTGCAGAGCAGCTAGGATTATAGGTGTGAGCCACTGGCGCCTGGCTCCATGAGATTCTTTTCTCCAGTAAACCCTCAA